ATCCAGGAGAACCTGTTTATTTTGCAAAACGTGTTTTAAAATGTTGCGAAAACTGGTTTGAATAAGTTGCAGGATCCCGCGTTCGCTCGGCTACGTGCTCAAAATCGCACTCGTCATGTGTTTCTACACGTTTGCCCTGTGGGTATTGTTCAGGGTATTGGCGAGTGTCACGAAACCGAAAAAGAACCGTGTTTTGGTGGATGGCGAGGAAGATTATCTTTTCGATGAGTCTGATGCTGAGGATGAGACGCTTTTGGAGCACGTGGCCGGAAATTACGTGGATTTACTGAGGATTTCGAAAATCCTCGATCGGAGGAATTCCACTGAAGATTATTCCCTGCGCATGCCGAGTGATGTGGATCTTTCTGAACACAAGCAAAGTTCAGCTCTTCTCCAGTTGCTGAATGCGAAGGTGTTGTTTTATTGATTTCTCCTCTTGTTGAAAATGTCGAACTTGAAAATATTCGTCATGGGCCAAAAGAAATCGAGTTGAGAAAGGAAGCATTTTTGTTGGGGGTGGGAGAAGAAGAGAAGAATTACTGTTCAGAAAATTCTGATATTCTAGGTCTTGCATTGCTTTTTAAATGATTTAAGAGGGTGCTGAACTTAGAGGCAAAGGTTCATTTGCCCAATTAGTCTTTCATTTCCTTTCAAAGCACATCAATTTAATTTTTTGATTGCTTTTCTCTTTCCTGTGTCCAAAAAAAAAAGATAGCCAAAAAAGGCTGGGGAAAAAACCTTTTAGTTATGGAGGTTTCTAATACAGTACATTGTTTCTGAGGGAATTTTGACAGAGACTTGACAATTGTTGAATGTTGGAGATTTGAGACAAGGAGGTTTAACTGCATTAAAATTGTCAATTTGAGATGAAACGTGGGAATGTCTTGTGAAAAATTCAAAATCAAGTTGAAAGATCCTCAAAAAATCACAGATACAAATTTTAATTTTTCACGTACAGTATAAGGTGAAGTATGATTATACAGGTTCAGCACGTCATTTTGAATTGCTTCTCGTCTTTACCTGCTCTCATAACGAGATTAACGTTTTGTTTAAAAATCGGTTTGTTCTAAATTTGTTGATGATTGGCTCGGGTGACATTTCGTATGTATGTATATTATGAGATGTATTTGTTTTGCAGGAGAATGGAACTTTTCTGGAAGCCGGTGCGTTTGATGGGGAGTTTTTTTCAAACTCCTTGTATTTGGAAAGAAATTATGGATGGAGAGGGGTTTTAGTGGAGCCCATCACCAAGTTTTACAATGAAATCCAAAATGAACCTTTGCCTCTAAGTTCAGCACCCTCTTAAATCATTTAAAAAGCAATGCAAGACCTAGAATATCAGAATTTTCTGAACAGTAATTCTTCTCTTCTTCTCCCACCCCCAACAAAAATGCTTTTTTCTGAAGCCTAATTCAATTTTTTTTCTCTCTTGGAATTTATTAACTTGAATAAGAGGTTTAACTGTGTTATTATTATTATGTGTTATTATTATCTTTGCCGTACTGTTAATGAATCAGGTCGTCAAAATTCAAATTTTTTCCCATATTTTCTGTTTACAAGGGGTTCTTTTTATGAATGCCAGCGATTTTGGCGAAATTTGCTGGGATATTCAGAGTTCATGGCCTGTTTCAAGAAAAATCCCTTTAAATAATTTTATTTTCAGTCACCTATTATGCATTCAGTGAAAGTAATAATCTTCGTGACTAATTGAATTTATTCTCTTGAATGCATTTTCCACGCGCGCAAGATCACGAGTAAAGAAAGTGAATCTATTGAGTAATGTGTTATCCACAGATGAACATGACGATCGTACGAAGTGGAATCTTCAGAATAGAAAGCATGAGTTCTTTGCATGGTTACAACATCGGTGACTTTGATCCCGAAAAACACGATCAAGAAACTGTGGAATGCTATCCAATTTTTGACGTGCTATCTGCTGCGAAACTCACGCAGCTCGACGTGCTCATGCTGGATGTCCAAGGAGCAGAAGAGGACATTTTGCGAACGATCCCTTGGCGTTTGGTCGACATCAGGGTAAGGAATCACGTGAGACACCACTGCGTTAATGTGGACATTTCTTGGGATCCGTTTTAGGGTATTTATAATAGGTGTCGCTTCTGCTTGCATCGAAACGACGTTCAGAATCAAGTGGATGACAGAGATCAATTCTGAATGCTGAAATGAAAATGTGATTGAGTGCTTGCATTCAATCTAAGTCAACCCGATTCCTAAAGTGACTGAGGTTTGTTTTTATGTGCGGTGATTTAGAAAAAGAAACTTACCGTACGCTATTTTCTTTTTGCCATGTGCAATGTGAAAAGTTGTGTTTTTACTCATGGAAGAGCGACACCTACATGAAAGTACACCTTTCGTGCCTGCTTCAAGAGAAGCTTTGGGAATGAGTTGCACTGAGCATTCATTATATTTTAGACTTTTAGAGGATCTGCACAGATGCGGCTAATTTTCCTTTTATTCTCTTGCAGGTAATATTAGTGGAGATTTCAAAGTTTGGAAAAAGTCATCTGCCAAGAAAGTTATTCCATCAAGAGCAACGCTTGAAAGCCTTCCTGGGAAAACAAGGATACGACGTGAAAGCGGTCCTCGGACGGGATTTCATTTTTGTTCGCGAATGATCTAGAAATATTTTAAATTTCATTCCCCCTCCTTTTGATTTTCCAAATGTAAGGTAAGTATTGCCTTTTTAAGTGCCTAACGGTAATCTAAGCAAACAGAACTGCTTACTCAACCTGATTAAACTGAAATGAGTTCCTGAAATAGTGCCGCATGGTTACTTGTACCAGGATCTTGACAAAAGTTTGTGCAATCATTCAAAAGAAATCATACAATTGAGCTGAAACAAATGTATTCTTTAGGGAAAACATATTCTTAGGCCACAAAAGAATCAGTCCTGTTCGACAATTTATTTTACTGTTTTTCAAAATTCACCCTAGCGGAGTTTTGCTCTCCACTCAGAAGATGAGGCGCCCTTCCTGTAGATTTTTTTTTGTAGCCCAGTTTTCCACTCGTAATTTTTGAAATCAACCTGGCATTCTTTTTAAGGGTTGCCTCCGGATCTTCCAAGGCAATTCCGCCATTTTTCGCCTTCACAGCCGCCATTTGGCGGCTGTGAAGGCGGCTGTTGCTGAAAATGGCGGAATTGAGAATGAGACTTTGGAATGATTGCACAAACGTTTGTCAAGATCCTTGTATAGTTGAAAGAGATCTATATGTATGATTCATGCGCTAGCGACATCTACAAAATGATGAACTGGCTAGTTAATGTTATCTTGAAGCATTTTATCGACAATCTTGAAGAAAATGTAACCCAACAGAATTCGTGAACTAAGTGAATGACCCTTTTGAAATGACAAAAAGTAGAACCAGTGGTAACCCAGATAATGGAAACCGTCTAGAAATGGATTTATTCAGTTATTGACTCTGCTGGTTATTCCCAACTTATTTTGTTCTGTGAATATATAGCTGAACCATTCTTCTAATGACAGACTGAATGAAGAGTGAATTTTCTCTTTGAAATAAAAATTGTTTGTGTGAAAAATCATGAAGTAGTAGAGCTTTTTATGTTTACAAAAATGAAAAAGATAAATATTAAATACACTGTGATTTATAATCCAAAACAGGCTAATTTCGTGTTCCTTTTTCTGGAGTTATTTCCCTGAGCTGTGCAAAATATAGGGAGACTTGTGTTTTTTTTTTTACTTTTTAAGTCCTTTTAATGCCAAAAGATCAGATTTTGTGTGGTTTTCTTCTATACAGCTATTTTCTCTATTTTAAAGTGAAGAAAAATTAATTTTATTCAACTTTTGTGGGTGCTTCTTCCTCATTTTCAATCAACAGAAGAACCAGCAGGTACATATATTCCTGTCTAATTCTGAAGGAAAATAATGTGATGCAATGTGTGGTCATTCCAATATTGGGGCAAGTTCCAAGCACCATACTATATTTAATCAAAACCATGCTTCCTTTTTTCAAAATGTGTGTGGGGGAAAAGGGGGTGTGCATCATGTATGTATGTATGTGGTTATAACATTTTCAAAAAGTGTTAGAGGGTAATAGGTGTTCAATATATGTGATTTTAACAGAAAATGTATACCAATTTTATCAGAAAAACCTTTTTCATGGAAATAATTGTTAACCAGCTGAATTCAGCTTCAATTTATGTCTAAATTCAAATTAGATTGATTTCTTTTTCTTGAAATGCTGCAGTTTTAGAATTACTAAAAATGGGGTGCATGTCTCACTTGACCATATACATTTCACTCAAAATTTTAAACTTAGAAACCCCAAAAGTGTGTCTTAATTGAGGGTGCATGGTACTTCAGTAAATAATAAGCAAGTGACATCTGTATGAAGAGGAACAAGCTGAAGGACTCGAATCATGTGTTATGAGAAGATGAAAGCCTCGTCGTTTATTCATTGGAACCGGGTTTAGAATCTGAAGAGCTAGAATGTTCCACAACAGTTTTGCTGTATTTCTTCTGGACCATGGAGAAGGATCCCTCTAATTCTGCCCCGTGTGCCTGGCTGTCTTGTCTGGCCTTGAGGGATTCTTGTTCCAGCCTTCGGACAATTTTGTCAACCCGTTCCATCTCCATTTCCTCGATCATTTCCGGCGCCACCACGGTTCTTTTCGGCACGCTGAAATCACGGACGATGGGACTTCGTTGCAGGAACACCCAAGCAATGTGGTAGGTGACGATAGTTGCCAACATGGTGAGAGTAATCTTGTTTGATCTGATGAAGGTTTTCCACTTGTTCTTGTTGTGTGGTGGTTGTTGTTCTGACATTTCTGATTGCCGCCGGGGGGTTAAATGATATCAATCTTTTGTGAAGGTTAAGGAATTTCAGCTCCCAAATCGTGAATTTTTTGAGCGAATCGACAGATATATATTTTTTAGCTTCGTATGTTTTCCGAAGTAATTATTAATGTTCTCAAAATGTCTTCCCAGCCTCAGAGTTGCCAGTGTTGGACTCATTATCGTTCTGATGCATCCACCAAACGAATTTTATCGTCAGACAAGTTCGAGGTAATACTGTATAACGAAGGGAAATTTGTTGTCGCGGATAAAATTCGGCCAGCTCATTTTATCGTAATTCATAGCTTTATAAATTGTCTTGCGTTTTGACGACGAGATGAGGGGTTGCTTATGTGAGGGAGGCTATGAATAATTAATTTAGTGCTGGAATAAGGGCAAGATGATTGGTGTAAAAAATTTAATCTGACAAAGCAGTATGGTGCAAACTGATGTAGAATCAACTTTTACTCACCTCAAGCCAGTACAGGTTAACTCTTGACTACAACAAATTGTTTCCTGTTCCCATGAATTTATAATTTTTTTTTTAATCGAGATACAAAACTTGAGAACCCTATATGGGACAAAGACAATGCATTAGCATTACACAAGAAAATTGTACAATAAAATCATTGAAGAGAGAGTATATTATCACGCAATGCACACTAAAAATTTCAGCTACAGAAGTTTAAATGAGATTACATTTTATAATGAGGCATGAAGTCTGTCAGATCTTGCTGAGCAGTTTTTCCTTGAGTATTGTGGAAGTGTAACTGTTGCAGAATTGATAGAATTGTCTGATTATTTTCAATTTTTGCAGGAAATTTCTTCTGAGCATCACAGTTCAATCAACCCATTCAGCAGTTGTAGCATTGTGCCTTTCAACTGCAGCTGTGCAGGAATTCTTAATTTGTCCCCATGTGAACAAATGGTATTGGAACTTTATTGTGGCTAATAAGTTGTGTGACCTGAAATAGACTGATGCTCAACACATTGAGGGAAAATTTCAGTAAGATTACTGACTTGTTGGGGTTTTGTTGAAGCTGAGGGATGAAAATTCTTACTTTTGATTTCATACCAATAGCTTTCTGCAACACAGGTGGACTCTCTCTACAACACTTTCCTCTGCATAACAAATTTTTGTAGTCTTATGAAGTACTTGTCCCATGTTATAGGGGTTTTCCAAAACGAAGTTTTATTTGGTTCCTTGAGTTTTGTTGAGAGAATCCATCTGTACTCGGGTTTTGAAGGTCTTTCAAGAATTTCTGTTCCTGTAAGGCATGCAGTATAATAAGTATTTCTCTATTGAAAAAAAGCTGAATACAATATGCATGATGAATATAACCCTGTACTCAATAAGTTTTTCATTTCAGGGGAATGAGATCCACTGAACAGTACTTTGGGTGCATCATTTTTGTTTGATCTGAAGTTGAATAGAAAAGGATGTTAACTCCTCAAAGTTGGAGTAACATGTCTAATTGGTAATTTCGAACTGCAATCTGAGGCAAATGTTCCCGCTTTCCCGTGGAAAATTGCAGATTTTCGCGAGAAAATCTAACGATTTTTTTTTCTGAAAAGTTCGTTCATTTCTTTGCCGGTGTTACAAGGTGGGCAGAAATGCTAACTTCTTGACACCGCGCACGAAACTCGATGGTTTTTGCCGCAATCGATCGTTTTTTTTGTTGTTGCTATTTTTACGTTGTTCCAAACTCTTTCCAGGCACAAGAAAAAAAAAACGAAGAATCATTTCTAGGTCAAACAAAACGAAACAAATTCCTTCCATGCTGAATTCGAGGGAGCTTTTGTCACGCATTCCGCTTGCACACCACGCACTCGAGGGAGCTTTTTCGATCAAGTTCAATCAACCCATTCAGCAGTTGTAGCATTGTGCCTTTCAACTGCAGCTGTGCAGGAATTCTTAATTTGTCCCCATGTGAACAAATGGTATTGGAACTTTATTGTGGCTAATAAGTTGTGTGACCGGAAATAGAGTGATGCTCAGCACATTGAAGGAAAATTTCAGCAAGACTAGTGACTTGTTGGGGTTTTGTTGAAGCTGATGGATGCAAATTCTTACTTCTGATTTCATACCAATAGCTTTCTGCAACACAGGTGGACTCTCTCTACAATACTTTTCTCTGCATAACAAATTTTTGTAGTTTGATGAAGTACTTGTCCCATGTTATAGGGGTTACTAAATTGTATTTGGTCCCTTGAGTTTTGTTGAGAGAATCCATCTGTACTAAGGTTTTGAAGGTCTTTCAAGAATTTCTGTTCCTGTAAGGGATGCAGTATAATAAGTATTTCTCTATTGGAAAAAAGCTGAATACAATATGCATGATGAATATAACCCTGTACTCAATAAGTTCTTCATTTCAGGTGAATGGGATGCACTGTACAGTACTTCGGGTGCATCATTTTTGTTCTATCTGAAGTTGAATAGAAAAGGATGTTAATTCCTCAAAGTTGGAGTAACATGTCTAATTGGTAATTTCGAACTGCAATCTGAGGCATATGTTCCCGCTTTCCCCTAGAAAATTGCGGAGTTTTGCAAGGAAATCTAACGATATTTTTTTTCTGAAAAGTTCGTTCATTTCTTTGCCGGTGTTACAAGGTGGGCAGAAATGCTAACTTCTTGACACCGCGCACGAAACTCGATGGTTTTTGCCGCAATCGATCGTATTTTTTTGTTGCTATTTTTACGTTGTTCCAAACTCTTTCCAGGCACAAAGAAAAAAAAACGAAGAATCATTTCTAGGTCAAACAAAACGAAACAAATTCCTTCCATGCTGAATTCGAGGGAGCTTTTGTCACGCATTCCGCTTGCACACCACGCACTCGAGGGAGCTTTTTCGATCACCCTAAATATCAAAATATGTATGTACAACTTCAAAGAATAAATTAGCATCGCGTGCTCAAGGGAGCTTTTCGAGCGGACGGAAGAAGTTGAAAAAAAGATACGGTTAACGCTCCTTCCACTTGACAAAATCGACCATAAGGCCTCCAATTAGCATCATGCTGAATACCGACACAGTTCGGGGGAGGGGTCAAGGAAGTTGAATTCCAAAGTGAAACCTCGTTTGCAGAAATAAATTACAATTTCGTCAAGCGACTAGCAAAACACGGGAAGGGTTAACAGCATCCAATGAGTTGAAGAACACATGGTACAAATTGCGCAAACGCACGGAAGGGGTTTTCCTGTCGGGTAGTTGCGTTGAAGTCCTTGGTTAACCGCAAACTGATCCTGGAATTTTGGACGCAGCGAATAATGTGCACTTTTTTGGGAGTCAGTGATTTCAAGTTTTTTTCTTTCTTTCTTCCTCCTTTACATGTGGCGAGTGTTGCCGAAAATCATGCCGCTCTGGTTGGCTCCTTTATTGCTGCCCATCTGAAGTCCAATGACTCCTTCGCCTGCACGCAGTTGAAGAAGTCACTTCAACGCTTGCAAGAACAGCCTGAGGAACCCAGGCTACCTTCCTGTCAACTTGACTCGAGGGACTCTACTTTATTATAGTGGTAATAAGTGAGGCATTCTATGAAGAATTAAAATTGTGTGAAACAAAAAAGGAACCCGACAATCAACCAACAGTCTAACGGAATAACGTGATCAACTCTCTCATCCTAACTTCTACAGTTTTCTCGTGCATAACGTCATTTCGGAAGTAGATTGAAGATGTACAGTATTTCCAAGAAGCATAATGATAAAAATTTAATGAATTAAACTTTAGATCGGTAATGCTCACGGGCTCGGGTTCGAATCGGTACAGTTTTTCGATCGGGCGCTTTGCACATCTATCTTGAAATACTGTACAAGGAACGATCCTGAGCAGAAGACTTGCTCAATTCACTTTCAAATAGATCCTTGACAAAACTGGGACAAAATCTGATCCCCGATATCCATTTATGATGGGTGATTACCACAACGATCATTTCTTTCGAGATGGCGTTGGAGCGTACGCAATCTCATGCACTGAGTCCTTGATCACTTCATTCGTACTGAATGGATTAATACATAAAGTTAACTGACCTTTCGTCCGAGAGATTGCAAACAGATGACGACCATGTTCAAATTCTGACGCAGGGTGTTTAGTTGACAAACCTTCTCAAGCCACCTTCCTTGGGGCGTTGGTCGCCGCTGAACGTTCTTCCGGGGCTACAAGAGGTATGTGAACTTCCGGTAGCAGCACAACAACTAGAAGAACTGACAGCCAGGCTTCAAGAAGTTGGCCAACCTTCACAAATGAAATATTTTCATGATTTCGGGGGAATGTGGATCGGTTTCGCGCAACGAAGAACATTATTTCACAAGAATACGGGAATGAACCGAACTTGAACTCGCGGTACCATAAATTCATGACATGAAAGACGCCATGATTGTCAAGAGCCGCGTGATCGAGTATCAAAGTTTCGGTTGAGTATAAGTTGCCTACGCGTTCTTTCTTTTTTTTCGCGCGATACCATTTAAATTGCGAAGCCCCAGGGCCGCAATAAATTTCAAAAGGCATTGGATTAGCATAATTTCACCTGCACAACACTTGTCCGTCCTTGAGTACTGCATGAAAATTCTCGGGGTCGCCAGATGTGCTGAAGTTTTCGTTGGTCACGCACTTGACCCACTCCAGGCACTCGGATGCCAAATACTCGTCATACTTGGCCATAATCTGTGAAATAAAAGAGAACATTATGCATATTTTCCTACAAACTTACAAATGGAAAAACGTCACCAGCTAAAAACTCTTCATAAAATATTTTCGTGAGGGTAACTAAGGAAATCCAATCCTATTCGACGTTTCAGTTCGAAGATGCATGAGAATTTTTCGCACAACAAAAATCAAAATGAAAAATCACGGCAGAAAATTTACGAAAGTATGAACCAAATGGCGCAGTGATTTTGTTCGTGCTCTCATCAGCCTGAGAACAACAGACCCGTTTTGTTTCTCCGCGCACGTGATTTTCAAATTAAAGAAAGTGGAATAAAAAAAATGTGAAGATTCACGAATTCCTCCTCTTGGTTCGAATGCGGTCACGCGAAGAACAAGCACACGCATTTTTTACTTGTGAAATAATTAGAAATTATTCATCACACTCTTTTTTTTCTCTCTTTTTCCTTTACAGCTGCAGTACAGTAGCAGAAGGCCAAAACTTATGCACTTCTACTGGAGCGCACTAACATAAGGCCAGACAGCCCTCCAGTAACGACAGACAGACACACACATAACAATTATTTTTATAAGTCCTCCACATCATTCAGAACCCAGCTGAGGATATTCTTCGCCTTCGTGGGCATCAGTAATTTTTAAATACTGTATCTTCTAAATTTTATTTTCTTTTTCTCAAGCGCATTTATATTTTTAAAAAATTTCATCTGCTAAAATGCAATGATAGAAATTCGCTAAAAATGTTACCTGATACACATTTCGAATTCCTCCCTCATTTGAATTTCTGGTTAATCCCTGACCAATTTTTAGGTAGAACCTTTCTTAGTCTAATTTTGAATGTCTTTTTGCTGTCAAAAAGTAGCGAGCTGCATTTTATGACACCTGTTCCACAAAAAACGAGAACACGCGCAAATAATTTTTCATACTTTCCACAAGTGAGTTGGCATCTTCATGCAGACAGGAAATCCATGAATAATGAACAGTTATCAAAATTTGAACATAAAATAATTTTCACATATTAGACTATGCAAATGAAGCCAAATTTCATCAAGAACTCTAATTTATTTTAGAATTTTACTTGTAGAAGCGCTACTTCGTTTTGCAAAACCAAGAACAGTTTTTAGCAAAATTACAGTTATAAGTAGAGAAGCACAAGAGTTCAAATATAAAATAAAATGTTAGTCCTTCAGAAGCAACTACAGACGTTTGCAGATATCATAAAATGAAATTCATTTCATCCTTGACAAACCAATGTGACCAAATGTTTAATTGCGATTGCTTGAAACAAGACACTGGTATTTTCTGGAGAAAAAATATCTTCAAGTTGAAATTAATCTTTTTGCAACCCATTTTTTAGCATTGAATATTTCTTGTGAAGTTCCATAAGAGAGAATTTTGTCATGAGCAATTTTGAAATGATTACTATAGCTCCTGCTTCTGAAACATGAGTATACCTCAAATTCGAAAAAAAAAATTCGAAGAAAAAAAAAACCTAACGCAAATACAAATGTCCCACAAACGTTGAGGATACGCGACATTACGAAATATCCAGAGGGTAACTTTAGTTCGTGAGTCGTGACTTGCATTATTATGAGCATTGTATTCATTATTAAAACAAATTGCATTAAAATGCGTTGGAAAGTGGAAACTGACTTCAAATAAATACGATTTTGAAGACTCCAATAATTTGTTGTATCCTTCCCTCTTTCAAATGGAGAAATGCTTCTTTGAAGAGTGGTCAAAAGAATACCACAGCAAAAAACGTTTTATTCCTTTTGTTAATTGAAAATATTGATTTAAAACAAATACTTCAAATTATTGTACTGTACATGTGAAATTTTGTTGATGGAAAATTTCCAGGAACCCTAAAAAATGTTCTGTAAC